TCCGTCATTTTGTCGCTTCCGTCATTTTGTCACTTCCGTAGCCTCACACACGTGAGCGCCTCGAGTTGTGTCGTGTGTAGCTGTTTGCGTGAAAGTGCTGTGGGTGGCTAATGGCACATCCGCTCTTGCTAAGATGCTTCCACCAGCAAAAAGCGGAAGTTTCTGTCGCTTCGCGATAAGGCTGCCATCATTGCCGAAGTTGAAAAGGGCAGGAAGAAGAAGGATATTGCCGAGGAGTATTGGGAACTGCTTCAAGCATGCGGGCTTCACCACCCCCGTGCAAGCATCACGCACGGATTGCGCTCCGGCCTCACCAGACGAAGATTTGGACGAAGACGCACTTGACGGCGAGAGTAGTGGCAGTGCAGTGCCTCTATCCCTGACCAACGCCTGGGGGAACTTCGAGCCATCGACATCAACATCCCAGAAGAACTCACCGTTGATGCATTCGTTCGCCGATGACGACATAGTCCTGTACGAGAAAGTGACTGACGAGGCCATTATCGAAAGCGTGCACGAAGCTGACGACACCGAGGACCAAGAAGAGACGCACGCGGAGAAACCCAACCCGCGGGTTGTTTTGGATGCGCGGAACATCCTTCGCTCTTTCTTCGGCGCACATGACAACGACGTAGCAATGGACCACTTTTTCGAGTGCGAAGGGAGAGCTTTGAAGTTGTTGCATGACAAGTTGACCGACTTCTGGCAATAAATTTTCGTTCTGCTGGCCGTATCACTGTTTTTATGTCTCATACTCGCGGCAACGAAATTCTCATGAAATTGAAATTTTTCAGTTTCCCCAGTGATTTTGTTATTGAGGGTTTCGACTGCATTTGATTCAGTTGCCACTTGCAGCCCTGCTCGTACCAAGCAAGTAGCTTAACAAACTTTGACAATGCTGAAACACTAGCATATAGTTATTATCACTGGGATGAGCCACTACTGTGCATGCACACATGATGATTGGTATATATATATATATATATATATATATATACACACACACACACAAAATGTTGCAAAGGCTTATAAAGCAAAGGTTACTTTATAATTTTACGCAGCCAGTTTACACAATGGCTAATAGTTACGTGAAGAGCACAGCAGAGGAACTAAGACAAGGGACCAACCGGGTTGAACAGTACATACAATAGTGTACTGTTTGTACACAAGGTCCCATTAGGTAAAAAACAGTTAATGCCTTATTCACATAAAAACTAGGGTGAATGCAGCTACTCAACTTGAACAATCTCTTTGACCAGATAATGTAGTAAGGACTCTCGTAACACATGCTAAAAGCTAGTGAATGCACAAAAAAAAAATGGCTGAATGGCTGAGTAAAATAAAATTGGAAACTACATCACTTGACATATCTTTATGTCAACGTCATATCTTTACGATCTTCACTTAAAGAAAATTCTATTAGACGTTTACGTTTATTCACATTTCCAAAACTGGTGAAATTCAGTACTATGCCCTAAAAAAATGTTAAAAAGTGATCAATCAAAAAATATATGAGGCCTTGAACAACAGTACTCTGTCCGCAATTCGAGTTATAACTGCAATGCTTGAAGCATATTTTTTAATTTGCCTATCAAATAATACTGCATGACACAGACACCTAAACGAAGGCGAAAAACGCAAACTGACAATAGCCTTTTGCCTAAGTAAAAAAAGTGTGCAACTAGTTATAACAATGCACACTGTTAGAATGCATTTGCATAAAAAAGCATAAATTAATACCTAGATATGCAAAAAAAAATTACTGCTTAGCTAGGAGTGCATTCTCGCTTGCTTTAATTTAAAAGACAGAAGTCCTATATCCCTTGCTCATTAAAGTCTGAAACAAAATATTCCAGCAGAATCCACAAGAATCAAGTACATTTTCATGGCATATAACACATTTATGTGCATGATAATGTCCTGTAAAATAAAGAATTTTGTTGTAGCTATGGAAGTAAAAGCAGTCAACATTTTATATATTACTAAAATTGATCAGTAGATAAATATTACCTGTTTGTGCAACTTCATGCAGCAAGGTTTCATAACGAAATAAGTTCTTCCTAATGCCTCATGTCAAACATGCAAGACAAAGTGACAAGTGTAGTTCAAAAAATGTTTCTGGGGTACAGTAAAACCTCATTAATTAAAACTCAGTTATTTTGAAATCCTGCTTAATATGAAATATTTCCGCAGTCCCGTATATTACAATGCAAGTCTGAGCGGGTAAGTTGAAGCGGCGGTCAACACCAGCCTGGGTAATTCAAAAACTTTGGGTGCCACGTGCCAATTCCCTATTTAATTGCAAATCCATGGAAATGACAGCCCTTAGGAGCCAGCCACAAGGCAATGCAACGTAGCAATACTAATGAGTGGCAACTGAAGCACCTCAACCTCCCTACCTTACGCAAAAAAAAAACAAAAAAAAACATGGTTGATCCCTCTGTCATAAGAATTGGTAAAACACGAAAGTGAAAGGAGCCCTTATAGAAGCAGTTGGGCATTGTCTATTTGTGTTTGACAGCTATAGCACTGCTTAACATCAATGCATCCATGTCAACCCTTACATCTCCATCTCGACAACTAACATAAATCATTAATAAATAAACAAACTCATTTAGTTACATATACTTGAGGTAGCTGTAGTAAACAGTGAGAGTGGAATGAGAGAAAGTGATGTTATGGTGGCTAGCAATGTGACAGCCAGGAGAGTGTGACTGATTGGACGCCGACCTTGGGCCAAGGTCGCCTACTCGCGGCATGCAGCAGTTATTTAACACCACTGCTTAACCAGCGGGAAACGCAACGCGCATCGTGCTTTCCCTTTGACCGGCCGCAGTTATTCACTGGGCAAAGTGGGAAACGCGGAGTCAAAGCCAGGCAAAGCCAGCTTCGCAGAGCTATTTTTCGTACAGATAGATGCCATGATCGACACCTACACTTGTGGTATGTGGTTGCCATCTATGGCCGTGCTAAAGCGATGACAAAACTGATTTTTCCTATTGAAAACACGCCGAATGGGACGGATGCTTTGAAACGACGCATCAAAGGAACTAATCGTGGATGCCACGGTCATGATGCATTTCTGCACTTTGCCGAGGACGCCGTGAGATGCCACTGGTAGATATAAAAGGCATATCTTTTTAGGTCTAAAAAACATGTGACCGTGGCACAATGGATAGTGTGCCCGGCATCTGTCGTGGCGAACCCAGAAGCCTCAGGTTTGACTCCCACTGACGGTATTTTTTTCTTATCTTCTGATCGTGCGTATTTTTTCAACATCATTTTCGTGACGGAAATGCGTCATTGAAATATTGGTGGGATCCGGCATAAAACACTTTCATGTTTAACAAAAAAAAAAAGGTCTCGTGGTGAACCAAAATCTGCTCCCGAGAAAAACAAGACATGCTTCACTGCAAGACAGCAGTGACAGGCGGGCAGCATATTGCATGCTTCTTGCAATGTCAGTGCATCATGACTTGCCCATTCTTTCTGGGATTGTATAGAAATTAAAAATTCACACCATCTTCCCAAAGGAAACCCTGATGGCATGCAAAGCAGCAGTGTTGTGCCCGGGTGGCGTCGCAGTTCGAGCGGCGCTAACGCGGGTGCTGCGGTGAGCACTGGAAGATTCGAGAGCGGTGGTCGCAGTAGCGGAGCGAGCGGCAGTAACAGCAGGTGTTGTGGGCAAACGAATGAGACAGCAGCTGCAGGCGCTGCAGCAAGTGCGCAGCAGGCAAGGAAGAGAGTGACGTCAACGCGCAGTGGGAGGGGAGCGTGACGCCAACGCACAGCTGTGGCGTGACCTACTTGGCACACGCTTCAACACCTGCAGCGAGAGGAGCACGTTGCGGAGCGTTTGTACGGATGCACGGAGCGACAGCGTTACACAGGCTAGTCAAAGAGCTGTTTCGCATCTAATAAAGGGCAGTTTGGTGGTATTCACGATGTACGCGAGCGAACTTCTGACAGCCTGTTACTCCGGCCATTCGCGCACTTGCACTGCTGGTGGCGTTTTTGCCTGCAACGCCTACTTTGAAAATTAAGTTCAAAAGTTTTAATTGTGTTTTCCAGCCAAAACATATTGCAAATTTTGTCACACTGGCCATTATTAAATACTTTATTTAACTAGAAGGAATGGGCGAAGATTGCGTGCTAACGCAATGACAAGAAGATGACATGCTGCCCGCGTGTCACTACTGTGTTGCAGTAAAGATGTCTTGATTACAGCAGGCGTGCATTTCAGTTGATAATGACCGTGCCTCTTTTATTTATTTATTTTTATGGCAGCAGCGTGGACTGCCGTTCCCTGGGATTGCGGCAAAATTAAGACCAGGTATTGCTGGAAAACATTACCTTTGGAGTCGCAAACTAGCTGGCACAGCAAACGACCAGTCTGATAGCTTCGAATAATTCCAAGTTCCTAGCATCCCACTATTTGTATGTTCTGTTAATTCGAAAACCTGCTCAATTCAAAGATTTCTCGCGGCCCCAGTGACTTCAAATTAATGAGGTTTTATTGTATATCACATTCGGAGAATAGCACAACTGGACCTATACAAGTAGCTTGGCATTTTTACAGCTTATATAGCATGGCATAAAACTTTGGTATTCTATAACATCCACTGTTACAAAATATACAAAGGTAAAAAATTCTGAAAATCCATGTTCCTGGTTTTGATTAATTTGAATCTTTTCATTCCCAAGTGCATTTTAGCAGCCTTTTCTGCCTAAAACCAGAATGTCGAAATCCTACACTCCAGCAACAGGCAAACAGCATTTTTGTTAGTCGTGGCATTCACACATGAGAAAAATTATTGGCAGCACTGTTCAATACAATTATTAATTTATAAGGAAACAACAGCTCATTTCTTGAAGCATAACAATCAAAAGAAGAAGCCCATTACCTAGAAGCTTATATGATGTCAGGAGAAAAGGCAGGCAGAAGCAGCTCAATGAAGCAAAAGCCAAACCGTGCATCATTTCCTACACAACAAGCATACCTTGTTCAAACTCTCGGCTGTAGCGCTTGCTTTCACGACGTGCCAGTTCAAGTTTCTCGACTGCTGGCTCTTCAACTTGATCAGATACGTCCACTGCTGTAGTGCCAGGATGTAAATGATGCATCAGAGTCGGTATGTGCAGTTGCCTTTCACATTTTTCCAGTGACGTTTTCATCCTTTATTTTCGATCAACTTAAATTGTGGCAGTTGTACGAGCATATTTTATTGAAGGAAACTACTAATGTCATGTTACCACATATTGTGCAGGAAAATAAAGAAACAAAATTAAAGCATAAACATACAGCAAATAAGCACAGACTCTTTGGATAGCTGATACAGCACCTTCGAATAGGAGGACTAAAAGTTTAAGTAAGACACGAAGGGATGCTTCTATACACCGGTATCTCATTTTTTGTTTAGAGCCTAGACTCAAGCACTTACTACACAGAGAGATGAGCATATTTGCAGTAATGAAGTGATGTCAAAAATTTGTACAAGTAATAATCATAACATTTCATTGTGGCCAGTTATTTCCACCAGAGAATCTTCATGATCCAGCCTGTAATGCGAGTACGGTACGATGTTGCAAGATGTTGCAACACACCATTTGGTTTATGTACATTAGGATGAGTCTCTACAAATGAAAAATACGTCAGGTTATAAGGTAAATGATTTTTGCATGCCACACATTGTGCAAAAGAAATGCAAAATAGAAAAAATATCATATAATAATGGTGCTGTGCAAGGGAAAGGCTCACATTTTAGAAGACATTGGTGCTCTGGCGGGCACACACAGAACAAGCTTACGAATTTTCTTAAGGTGCTCTTGATTAGGTAGCCTAGCAGTATAAAGTATTTGACCTTAAACTTATTAATGAAGCCAACGTTTTGCTACGAAGTTCATGTAGGCGTAGTCGAAACAAATTGCCTTGCAAAAACACACACACACACACATATTTTACCAAGCTTTGATTTTTTGCTAAACAGAGCTGCAAGCCACACTTACATGTACACAAAGTGAAAGGCATGGCAACTACAAGTGAACATTACAGACTGAGATGTACAAACGGATGCCAACTTGGATATCTATGCAACCACTGCAAAACCAGCTTTCACTGCTGGTGCAATTCCAGTTTTCTTGGCAAGTGTTTTCCTTGCATGTCATCAAACTTTTCAAGCATTACAATTTACATTTTCCTATATTCCTAAACCCCTTCCATATTTGCCCTGCATTTTAGGAGCCGAATTTTTACTTAGTTACACAAAACCTACAAAGCAGCTGAAGGTGGCAATTCTTTGTGTAACCTGAGCTGCGTGCCACACAAGGTCACTTGCTTAGACAGCACAAAATTTGCCTTTTCCAACTATTCGAACTGTAGACCGAAGGCATTGAGAGCACCCAAAAGTTTTATTAAAACGGTCTTAAACCATTCTTCGTGCTTGGTATGTCACAGCTTTGCCACAAAGGCAAAGCAATGAATGCGATAGCAACAACTTAGAACGTTATGCGCAAAATGGAACACAGATCGAAATGTGCCCTGTGTTTCTCATGCACAAATGACGCACGAAATGTGCTCACAGGTACAGATTCACGAGAATAAGCGTCTCAGTTGTTACTTCGCTCTGTCTTCAATAACTGCAGTGACCTTTGTGCGCCCGATAACTACAACAGAATCGTTCCAGGTAAAGCCTGAGGCCAGCCAAGGCGTACGATCCTCGAGAAGGCCAAGCCATACGATCCGTGAGAAAGTGTCGCTCCCCTTCTCTAAGCGGTGCAAAGTACACGTGGGAAATTACAGTGCGTGCCGCCGCGCAATGTGACGACGCACACTCACTACGCCATCTTGCTGGAAATGCTGAAAACACAATTTCCCCCAAGATGCCCATCAGTAAGTGGTAGATATAAATAGCTTGTCGTTTGAACATTGAAGGACATGCTCCTCGGTGGCGCAGTGGTTAACACCTCGCATTCACGATTCAGAGGACCCAGGTTTGATTCCGCACACCGGAGTCTTTTTTCTGGGATTTTTTTCTTTGTTCCGTTTCCATATATATAGATACGCATACATATACACGGATTGACCCCGATGCTGGAAGCAAAATCCAGACGAGAGTGTTCATATAATTGCTATTGCAATAAAACGCCTCCTACAAATATAACGTTTAAATGATTTTTTACACAGATGTAGTAGGAGTGACTACATAGTGCATGTCATAATTCCCTTCCTTAAAAAAAAAAAAAGCGGAGACCTAGTAAGGCACCACCTTAGCAGGTGCACTGAACTCGGTGTTATGTCACCTGGCTTCATTGTTATGTTGTTTTCTTTCTGCATGACTCTACTCTGCTGACATGCACTGTTGGAAACCATAAATTGGGTGTCTAAATTGCGCTGCGACAAAGTCAAAGTTTTCGGTCCCATGCTTCTCATTGTGCTACTTAATACTGGCATGATCTCTCTGCACTGTTTCGCTCCTACTTTCTGCAGCTAGATTCTCTTTGGTATGCATGGGCTCTAAGATGCATGTACACTTATGAGTACGCATAGCAAGATGCACACACCATGCTCCATTTGGCTCGGTCATTATGTACTCTCTGTACACCTTGTTTGAGTCATATGCGTGCATCAGCAGCAGGCAGAGCAGAACACTGATGTCCTACAAGCATTAGAACTAAGTGTTGCACGTAAGCTTCTTAAAGTTTCAAGCCACTCATGACATTCAAACATAATAGAAAAAAAAGAGGTTGAAAAGCCATAATGTTGAAAAGGCAGGGTGGCCACAGTTTTGCGCTAACATGCGAGGGTGTACTAAGTTCAGCTGACATTCAGGAAGTGCATCAACCATGTCTAAACTTGAAAACAAAGCTTTCGTTTACTTCAAACTTTCTGTTTAAGCACAACTATTACACACAATGAGTATAGGAACTAGGTATGGTCGAGAAAACTTATGTATTGATAAATCATTAATTGATATATTCTTTAATTGGTTAATTGCTTTTTGTGTGATATTTTAATGACTAATCAACATGTCATAAGTGTGCTTTAAAAAGGGTATTGCATAGCTTTAGAAGCATTGCTTGTGTAAGAATTGAAGCTTGAACGAGTTGGTATGCCTTCACCTTTGTTGATACAGCGTACACGTCAAAGACTGTCTGCTCTAGCACACCTGCCAGCGCCTGTCCTGTGTTTCTTATTCTTTGTCATTTCCTCGTGTGAGCTGTATCAACAAAGATGAACACATTGTTTGTTTGATCTCGACTGAACTTTTTCTATCAGACGCACTACAGATAACACGTGCACATTTGCTCCTTCATAAAAATTCGTACTTTCACTAAGTGGATACACAGCGTCATCTATGGGTGATGTCACAGAATGAAGGGTCTGTGGCCATTGTCATGGACGATCAGCCAGCAGGTCGTATTTTCTCGAAGCCTGCCTACTCGATCACACCAAAATCGGAGGAGTTTTCAGTGACCACATTGGTTGAAATTATTGTTGTTATGTGATTTGCATGCACAGATACATACGAACAGAGAGAAAATACGTACACGGAATTTTTTTTATTTTGCTAATGTACCGGGGTGGTAGTGAACTTCAGTGTTTTGGAGCAGGTTTGAAGCACCAAAACGTGTGTTTTGGAGCAATGAGAGTTAGTTTTGAAGCAGCTTTCTAAAGTCGACCATCATCATCAATCACAATTATTTCTGGTAAAAAATTCAAATGCTTTTCACTAAACATACAATAGTAATGAGCTTACAAGGCTTACCACCTGCACGTGTGTTGTGTGTGTGTGATACAAAACATGGCCATTTCATACTCAGCCTGAAACAAAAGAAAAATATATTCTGGGCGGTAAAAACATGAAAATACTTCTTTACGCAAACGTATACTACAAAGAGTCTCGCTAGCCTCTGCAGCGTTGCACCTGATGTGTGAAACAGAGTACATAGGTAATCACGGCGCACTTCGCTTGGCAGAAGTTTGTTATCCTAATGCTAATTAAATACACTATTCTGCTCATCTGTACTCGGTCTGAAGCGAAGTGGGGACGATCGATTCACACAGTCAATCCGTGCGCACAGTACAGCGAGTTGCTCGTCCGCCATAATGTTTCCAGCATGAGTGCCGCGCTGCACGCAACTAACCAGAAGATGATCCAAGTCCACGCGATTGGTTCATATTTCAATATAACTGTCAGTTGTCGTTTAGTATTATATCGGGGTAGAAAAGTGCACATATGTATCGGGGAAAGCCGATGGTGACCGTTTTGTTGCTATTTAAGTCGCTGTGTATCCCGGACCCCGTAATAGTTTAAAATGCTTCTTGGCGTCGCCACTGTGCATGGTAAAACAGTCGTGTGAGAGTGCCAGCCCCGTATGATTTTTCTCGCACTCTGGCAAAAAGGAAGAAAACTGATTGATTGATATGTGGGGTTCAAAGTCCCAAAACCAACAAAAAAAAAAAAGAAAGAAACATCTTTCTCAGTGATGCCACCGAGGTCTTCCGATTTGGAGCACTTTGGAGCAGCAAAATTGTTCATTTGGAGCACTTTGCAGCAGTAAAATTTTCCATTTTGGAGCAATCTGGAGCAGCTAACATCCTGGAAGAGCAGCAAGTTGAATTTACATTCAAGGACATGAAAAATTATATTTAGGTTCTTTTGAAAAGCTAGAAATATTTAGATTCATTGCAAATTTTATGGAGACAATCATCTTAGCAGAACTACCTGCTTCAGTTGATGATGCAAAATAATGGCATCATGCTGTTGAGCATTCTGGAAAAACTTGTTCCGTGATTTTCACAGCAAATAAACAGTGATTGAATAAAATTTCGCTTCATGAAATAACAATATAAATAAACCCATGTGACTATCAGTAGATATGATAGACAAACGCTGTGACACACAACTTAAAAGACTCACACAGTCCCAAGTGCATTTCCCTAAGATGACTTCAAGAATAAAAAAAAAGGGTTCTTTTTCTACACAAGTGATTAGACTGCTGGGCGTAATATGATGTCATTCAGCTAGTCTCAGAAAGCCAACCTCCTCCGGAACTCATCTCTGTGCTGAAACTACACGATTAAACAAACTTTATT